TACTGCACAGTGTAACTTTTAGACATGTAGGTGCTTATGGTGTAATTTATCTCATAAAGTAAAGTACTGACCCTTTGTCCTCTTCCCACTTACTTACAGTACACTTTTGACCCAGTATAGGTTCTCTGTAAGTATTTTATTGATACTCCGTATGTACTACATGTTAACACTGTCATTTTCAAACTCTAATCTTAAGCATTACAGAATAATGCCAAATGAAAACAATTTGAACAGAACATTTTATTTCCTTCAGCATCACTACTGCTGACATCCATCTCTTGTGTACTTCTGGGCCATCTCCAATATGCCTGCACAGGTAGGCTTGTATACAGAGGTTTTACACTCTGCATCTGTGGGCCAGTACTCAATCCAGTTTCTCTCACTCAGCACGTACTGATACCTAGAGAAAGTGAAAGAAACACTGGGTTTTCATGTAAACAGCTCTCTCTAACTGCAGGAATAATGAAAAAGGAATGACAGGAAGAATAATGGCAAGTACAAAGTCAAAAAATAAATAAATAGATAAATAATAATTACTCACAAACAACACTACGAAAACTGATAAAGATAAGCATGATTTGCATGAAAGTATGTACTTTAGCAACACAAAGCACAGACACCACAGACAGGTAAAATGTTTTAAATACTGACAATATTACAGATGGAACAAACACACCACACATGCGCAGACACAAAGAACTTACAATTGTCTCCGTTGGTCTGTGTAAATATCTTTGGATGCACCCATGATAAGGTAGGTTTTGCCTTTGTTCAGACCTAAAGTCTTTCTGCAGTGCCGATAACTGAGGAATGTGCGCTGTTTATTCAGAGGGCCTACGTCATCATTTCCTGTGGTTAAAACAAAGAACAGAGAGAACATACTTTACAGAAAACTATGGTTTATTACATCCACCAAAGAGGTCATGCTTTTGGTTCAGTATGTTTCTTTGTTTGTTTGTCTGCAGGATTAGGGAAAAGTGCTGGCCTGATTTTCATGAAACTTAATAAAGGGGTGTAGCATGGGTCAAAGAAGAAACCGTCAAATTATTTTGCCCTTTTCTTTAACTTGAAATATACGACATTGATAGTCTTGATTGCCTGAACTTGGCTATCTCAGACATCACAAGCAAACATAGAGGTTGCTGGGCCAAAATAGCGGCAGAGCTATGGTGCTAATGGTTACGTCTCCAGTCTGATCTCTAGAGCACAGCTGATATATTTGTGTGGCTTGTTTACATGATGAAACAGACGTGAATAATGGATTTAGTGTGGACAGACAGCTCTGATTTTATGTGATATGACGTGATATTTGGATGCTCATTGACTGTCAGGACAGAGTGTCATTATGTTCCACTCAAGAGGGGTTGCTGAGTCAAGTGTGACTAGATAGTAGTGGTTCCGGTCCAGTGTTTGGCTTAATATCAAACCAGTTTGAAAAATGTTACACCAGTTGATCAGCTAGATGGTAGGGACATGGAATTGGGGGGACTAACGTGCATATGCTGCCCACCGGCTACCGAAACTAAGGACAGGGAAGTTTGGATTACGTATGCATCATCAACATTTTGGTATAGGGCATATGGCCTTGGAGGAGGTCTGCACTCTCTGAGGGCTCTTCTAGTTTAAAACTAGCAATACCCCTGTGTTCAGCAGATTTCGGGCTCAGATCACAGCTTTTATTTTGGTGAGTACGATCATAACTGATAGAAGTGATG